AGATTTATGGCTTTGATTTTCTAGCAGGTATAGAGTTCAACATGTTTCATAAAATATCTATTTTATATAAAACATCGTTCATAAATCATTTTCATAAACTTTTTTTTTTGGTTTCACTTTGTAAACTTTTTTTACTTCAACAATAATCTGCCATGGATTTTCTTTAAAATGAGACCAAACTTAACTGTGCTCCCAAGCTTCAAATTTTTATTACAGTTTTTTGACATGGACATTTTTGTCCACTATGGACCTATGTGTAACTTATTTTAATTGACGCACAAGGGTTAAATGTCAGTGTGATAGTTTTTATTTCATTATTATTCGTTATTTTACATCAACTTAAACTAAATAGAAAGAATACATGTTAACAACTAGCTATCTTTTCATTTCAGTTGTATGAATAAAATGATTAAAATATATTTTGTGACAAAGGTTTTTGATGGTTTTAGTTTTAGTTAACTATAAGAACCTTGATTCTGCAGCTGACAGAGAGGGAAAATGATCTGATTTTCGACTACATAAATATCTGTGCTGCCAGATGTTCAGTATCTGTGATGATCTAGGCTTTTTCTAACCTCAAGAAATAAATCTTTTCATCATACGGTGGAGTATAATTGATTGGTTACAGTGTCCTTGTAAAGTTTCATTTGAAAAGAGCGTCTTCCACTTTTAGTACAGAGTCCCATTTCCTGCAGAGCCCAAGGGACAGTTATAATGGCAGGTAACTCATCATTAGGAGACAGTTCTGCAATATGTTACAATACTTATGAGAAGCCACTTAGATGCTTCTGTTTCCTTTTGCTCTTTATATTTTTATTTCAGTTCATATGAAATACAGCTTTTAAATGACTGTTTGACACAAAAAAAGAATTTGTATTGTGAATGCACAATGAACTGCTCTTTTTCTATACTCTTTCTAGAATTATATGTAAAAATAAGTTTACAAATCAAATCTGCTATGTCACCTAACTCAAATATAAATTAAACCATTTCATTAAAAGCATGGGGAATGTGCCACACTCAAGGAAATTGAGAAAGAGGTTGTCTGAAGTAATGGATAATCCACGAGGGCAACCAAACGCAAGCCAGTCCTCTGAGCAATTTAACTCTGGCCTCAAATTGAAAAATACTGAAAAAGTGAGACAAGCCATCTGGATGTCAAATCTTCAGCTATTCTAATAAATATCTCATCTTTCATCTTCTAGTCTTAGAATAATAAATCAAATCATGCAAATAAATAGATGCTTAATTCCAAGTTCAATTTGCTTGTGGATTAGAGGCTTTCTGAGCCGTCAAGAGGGATTCTACTCAATGTTCCTATTCACTGGATGTCACATTCATCATGGCTTTCATTACAGCTCTGCACAGGCTCGAATGGTGTGCAGGAAGTTGCTTTACGCTGTCATTCCACAAAGTCAAGGTGTTGTGATCATCGCTGCATTTCTTTGTCTTGCACAACAAACACTGTCATTCCACTTTAAAAAGAATCAAACCAAGGATTCTTTATTTATCCATGCATTAAAGAATAACAAATATTCACCATGAAAAATACGGTACCAGCGCTTCAAGCATTACAGGAAGCATTTTGGTGCCTGTTCTGCATTTCATAACTGTAGGCCTGTTTTTCATTAACCAATAATATTAATATACCAGCCTACTTAAACTACTAAAATCTGCTTTGTACCATAAATACTAATAACCACCATAATGGAATAAAACAGAAAGCCACATGATGAATTAAAGATCATCATAATATCCCTTTCCATAAACAATTGCTAATGCTTTGTTGCAATGTTACCCTTACAAAGACAAAATGCCATTATTGTAACACCCGGCTGTAAACATTGACTGAACAGCATACAACGTAACATGCCCAAAATGAGCAAGCACTGTAAACTGTTTACAACTATTTACAGTAACATTGCACGTCCTGGTAAAATTTGTATTGTGTTCATTTTAAATGCTTTTTACAATTATAGTACTAAAAACACAACAACTGAATTGCTGCAAATCATTCAAACTTAACTATAATGGAAAAACTGTTTATTTTGATTATTGTTAATGTTATATATTTTAATGATTTTTAAAAAGATTTTAGAAGACGCCAAACCCTGTGAGCATATCAGATGGCGCAAACTCTCAATCAACAGCTGAAACTGCTATATTATAATCATCGTGATCACAGCATGTAATCATTGCTTTAATTTGTGTTCATCATTTCTGCTTAAATACTGTCATTAACTAACTGCATGATTTGTATTATCCTAGAACTAGTACATTTAGAACCTAGTACATTTCTATCATATGGACATTACTTTGACACACTCAGTTTTGATAACAGATTACCCTTAATTGTAATGTAGAAACATGCATTTTATGTAATGCTGCTTTGCAACGATACGCCTGTACAAACACTATAAAAAAATACATGTGAATCGAATTAAATTGAATATTCAAAAAATAAAGAAATCAAGTATTTTTTGTACCATTGCTTAATGTATATACCATCATGTATATCATGAATGTAAACATCATAACCTAAATCCCCATAATGCACGGCTGTAAAGGGATAGTTAACCTAACAATAACAATTTTTGTAATTACTTACTTACGCTCATGTCGTTCTAAACACCACACTAAGCTATAATATGGCATTTAAAGATGTGGGATATAACACCTGAGTCATACTCAGGTTTATTTTGATTATTGTTAATGTTATATATTTTTAAGATTTTGAAAAAGATTTTAGAAGACGCCAACCCCTGTGAGCATATCAGATGGCGCAAAATAAACACATTATATCTAATGTGATGTTTTGTCATTTTTGGAGCTTGACAGTACTTGATCAGCACTCACTTCGATTGTATGGAAAACATCAGCTTTCTTCTTTTTTGTTCCACAAAAAAAAAAAAAAGTCAAACAGGTTTGGAATGACATATGGATGACTTGTGATGACAAAATTGCCATTTTGTGGCAACTATCCCTTTAAGTGGCTTATTGCATTACTGAAACACTTCTTATGTGGTACACAAAGGCATCTAATCATTATGTCCTGAGATAAAATGAGTGTTTTCCACTAATAACTATCTTATTATAACATTTGTGCTATTATGACACCCGAGTATTCTTGTGGGAAGATTCTCTGCAGGCCCTAATCCTCTGACTCATCTCTTCACAGCCCATTGACCCTGCTGTCTTCATTTAAGCACAGCTTTGTGTTAGTTGTAATGTGCACACAAGTGAGTAACAGCAGCTCTCCTGTGCTCTGTTTGCATGTTGTCAGGGGAGCTTTATGTCACGCTCCAGCTCTGAACAGATATACGTCCAATAAATATAGTGCTCAGTGATGCCTTTACCAAAAAGTGCCATGTGTCTTGGACATTTTATACATTCATGGTGTATGAATATGTCAGTCATATAGAACAGCCGCGGGAGCATCAATGTTATAAGGGTTCGTGAGATAGTGCCCAGATGGCACAGCAGGTGCAGAGTCCAGCTGTGGACACATGGTTAGAATGTACCTGTCAAAAAACACACTTCATCCTTGAATCTATACATCTCCCCCCTGTGTTTTAGCTCACACCGCTGGAGGTGACATCCCTGCAGCATCCAAGACATTTACAGTGCAGTCACGAGATGGGAAGGATGAAATCTCAGGAAAAGGCAGCCAGACCCCCCAAAAAGCGGAATTATTTTTTGCTTAGCGTTCAGCCTTTTCGTCACTCCCTTGCTGCGTGACATTTACAGACAAAATGACAGAACAGAAGCTATCAGACAAATAATGGTGTCTTGTTTTGAGGCGGGCAGCATCACAGCTAACTAACACATCACAGCCGGGACACAAGATGGACCTCGACTCGTGCGTCACAATGTAGCATTCGAGTGGTGGCACCTGTAGAACTGCATTGCTGTAACTCTTTCACTCTTCGCCATGCAGTTATAATGAATGAGGACTAAAGCTTTCAAGCTTCTAAAAAGGCACAAAAGCAGTAAAGTAAATATACGCGAAAAGTGACACCATATTTACTTATATATGACAAGCCATATACGATACAATAGGGTCGCCGTGATTTTGCCAAGACAGACATGTTCCTGGATCAACATCTTTTGTTGATCCTGGATCAACATAACTGTCCAAAAATATAGACTTAACCCAATCCCTACCCCTAAACCTAACCCTACCCATAATTTATTCCTAAAAACAGTATGAAATGCTAGCTGATTAACAAGGGTGTAGAAGCACCTAACCCTGATTGTAAGCCTAAAACAGATATTTCCTGAAAAGTTATCCCTCAATTCTGATTGGTTGATAGGAATGTTGGATGTTGATCCAGGAACATGTTGTACTTGGTGAAATCACGGTCACCGATACAATAGAGAAACAGGGTTATTATCGTTAGGCCAAACTACAATTCCATAAATGTCACGCAGCTCCATAATTCCATAAATGTCACCCAGCAAGGGCACAAAATCACTGTCCAGAACAATTTCATTAACTGTTTCTTGCCTGTGGAATCAGTACGTTTACATGGACACTTTTTGCTTCCATCTGAATGAATTCATTCTGATTGACGAATCCGACCGTAGTGTTTACATGAACGCTAAATAAAGTGATGGGGTTGATATGCGCGTTTATATGTCACAAGCTTCTGATCGGATTTTCTCTTTTGACATGTGCACTGCATGAATATACAGTTTTATAATGACTGGACACTCATTTTTGACACTTTATTCACTAGGAAGAACAGCTAGTTCCTGGCATCATACGTCAATACGCTATTTTTTGTACGTCACTGCGCATGCAGTACTTTCCAGTTTCGATTTTCAATCCGATCAAGTGTTTACATGTCCTCTCGCTCGGATTACAAAAGGAATAAACCACCCCTTACAATCCGATCGAAATTTTAGTCGGATCTGGCCAATTCAATCCGATTGACGTGTTTACGTGTGACTTTTTTATTCTGATTGTGCTTCTAGTCCTATTACGATCGGATTAGTAGGGTCCATGCAAACGCAGCTTGTATTGCCAAGTCCGCGGAATTGGGCTACTTTAACACTGTTGCCGCGGGTGGTTTTTCATGTCCGCAGGTTGAAGCGACTCCAATAACATGATATTTATCCCCTTGAATGTGAATTTTAGCAGGGGAACCACGCCAAAAAAAACTTATACCCCCCGGAACACGGTTTTTAATGGGGACAATTAGCGATTGGGCGGGTTTTCTTGTGAAAACCTGGCAACCCTGAGTGGAACGATCTTACCAACCTCATCCAGAACACAGAATCCCTGACAACATTCAAGGGACATTCATCTAATCTCTTCTGTGAGCACTTAGCTGCATCCTTCTGAAAAATAAATAAATAAATAAATAAATTCCTCTATGCTGTCACTTTTTCTTAATCCTTCCTTGTTCTAGCTTGTACTATTCTAAACTATGTCTGAAACTTTGTCTTACAAGCACTTCTCATATTTATTTGCCTCTTTATGATGAATTGCTTGTATTAGCCTACTCATTTGTAAGTCACTTTGGAAAAGCATCTGCTAAATGAATAAACGTAAATGTAAAAACTTTTTTTATTAATTGAAATAAAGCAAAAATAAAATAAAAATATTAAGATGAAAAACTTCAACTTATTTCAGTTAGTCAAGGCCATGTTATTGTTTAGTTTACATGGAAGAACTAAAATTGTGCACTAACTGGAAGTAAAAAAACTGAAAAAAATGTTAAATCAAAATACTAATAAAAACTATAATAACATATAGATAACAAAATATTTAATAATCAAATTTTGATTTAGCATCATATAGCAGCATAATTATAAAAGTCAGTCTATTTACTGACAAAAAACTCGATTGGTTTCTATAAATAATGATTATTTGCAGTTTAGTAAGTGAGTCCGATGATTCTGTAACCGCTGTGATCGATTTAGTTTAGTGAAGGATTCATCAGACTGATTCAATTCATTCAAACCGGACTTTTTGAACTATTCATTAAAAGAACTGGCTCATAGAGTCTTTAATTAGGGAATTAGGCCTAGTCCCGGCATTTTTTTAATTCTCTAAAAAGAACCGACTCATTTATTTGTGAATCGAGTTATAGTACATGGTATAGCGTTGTATGTTGTTTTTGCCTACAGTCCACAACAAAGTCCTCAATACAAAGACGTTTTTTGCCATTTATTAAACAGTTACTTTCAATGTAGACCGCGTACTCATAGTAAAACTGAGGTAAAATTTTATATCTTTTTACCGTGGCGCTAAAGATTCAGTAGCTTTAGATCGACGCAGCCTTCAAAATGTCTGCATAGAAATAAGAAAGAGTCATGTGGTTTTAGAGCGACATGAGGGTGAGTAAATGATGACAGAACTTTTGTACGAACTCCTCTTTTAAACATGTTTTTGAGCTAATGGACGCTTCGACAGAGTGCCACTTTGTTTATGTGACTCACCCAGTCAAGCTGTTGAAAGCTGTCAGAAATGTTCCAGGCACTGGGTGAAATCGCCAATCGCCCATGGTCACACACTCTAGACGCCAGGACAGAGAGCAGCTGGACTCCACACTTGATGGACCCTGTGCTGCAGCACAATCTCAGCTATCCTGCTGCTCTCCAGATGCTGTGATCTACAGATGAAGGTCATCAATCAATCTGTAAGGACATTGGGTGTAGAATTAAACTAATGAGCTCAGAGGGAACACAACCTCATGGCCTCTCTGCCAGTCTCTGTTCATTCACTCAAGGTGGAATCAGGGATGAAGTTATTGTGTATTGTGGAGTTCGCCGCATGTATGGAAAAAGCACTTTGCTAGTACCACAGGTAGATGTGTTATACATTCAGTGCATTGCCTGCGAATGCCATGCGAAACTAAAAACGCTATAGTGACAATGATGGATTAGATTCTTTTCAAGTTAGAAAGTGCGGAGCTGTGCAAGGCTTGATTGAACATCACAGTGGCCGGCTACCTGCCTTCAGGGAGCAGAAAGACAGTTTCCGCCCAACTCTCTCGGCAGGCCTGGCACCGCAGGGCAGCTGAAAGGAAAAGAGGAACGAGGTTTACTTTTTCACATCCTGGCGTCAGTCGTCGCTGAGTGAACTCTGCTTTCAACACACAGTTTACAGGATAAAGCTCAGAGCTTCAGGTGTGTTTACAGTGGACCGGACCATCTAATGCAAGAAGGTGAAGAACCTCCAGGCAGTTTGGGTGTTGACAGCTCCTCTCAGCTATCCTGCTGCTCTCCAGATGCTGTGATCTACAGATGAAGGTCATCAATCAATCTGTAAGGACATTGGGTGTAGAATTAAACTAATGAGCTCAGAGGGAACACAACCTCATGGCCTCTCTGCCAGTCTCTGTTCATTCACTCAAGGTGGAATCAGGGATGAAGTTATTGTGTATTGTGGAGTTCGCCGCATGTATGGAAAAAGCACTTTGCTAGTACCACAGGTAGATGTGTTATACATTCAGTGCATTGCCTGCGAATGCCATGCGAAACTAAAAACGCTATAGTGACAATGATGGATTAGATTCTTTTCAAGTTAGAAAGTGCGGAGCTGTGCAAGGCTTGATTGAACATCACAGTGGCCGGCTACCTGCCTTCAGGGAGCAGAAAGACAGTTTCCGCCCAACTCTCTCGGCAGGCCTGGCACCGCAGGGCAGCTGAAAGGAAAAGAGGAACGAGGTTTACTTTTTCACATCCTGGCGTCAGTCGTCGCTGAGTGAACTCTGCTTTCAACACACAGTTTACAGGATAAAGCTCAGAGCTTCAGGTGTGTTTACAGTGGACCGGACCATCTAATGCAAGAAGGTGAAGAACCTCCAGGCAGTTTGGGTGTTGACAGCTCCTTCTTCACTGTTTGTTTCTTTCAGAGGGGCGTGGCGGCATTGGAATGGGAGAGCTCGGTGGTGGGCCTCCATCTGGGACTCCTGTCAGAATATTTGAGGCAGACCTAACGGATCCCGCAGGAAAGGAGACCTTTACCCCTCCAGGCAACACGGATCAATGGTCTCCTCTGCCTCTCTTTGAGCAGATGAATGCATCGTATGTTAGCATGCAGCGAGAGCGCTCAGAACCTCAGTGTGTCATTTCAGAGCATTTACTTCACATGCACTCTTTTACGCAAAGAAGCATTCGTCGAGATTTGATTAAAATTCAAAACCGCCTTGGCACTTTTCTGAGTGCGAACTGCTTATGCATTCGCACTCTCGGTCTGCATATTAAAAAAGCACGCTTTGTTATTACTGGCAAAGGAGCTGCACTGCAAGTACTTTCAGTTGATCTTGGTGGAGATGCTTTTGTCAGATTAATAACCAGATAGTGAGCCATTTGAGAACACAGCAGTCTTCTATCCTCTCCTTTATTATGAAGTAGTAAAACGAAAATGTCTCACACAATCAAAACATTTGAAAAGGCACATAATGGAAATGAGGAAAAGAAGAAAAGACTTTAGATAAAAAAGGGTGGAAACAATTTTCAGCATTTCCCATTAAGTCTGTTAAGCTGTGGAGTGAAAAGAATTTAATTTTGTCATGAACTAAACATACATGCACATGGTAAAGCTAAACACAGAAAAATCCATCAATCCATCAGGAAAAAACATTGTGACGACTGCAAAATATGTCATTATTATAAAAAAAAAAATCTATTTTCATAAAGTCTATTTAATGGTTTTAAGAACCCTCTGAACAAAACAAAAAAGTTAAACATATACGAACTATAATATGAGATATTGTTGCTTGCAAAAAATGTATTTAGTCAGAATACTCAGCTATTTTTTAATGGCTGTCATTGAAGAAAAGATGCTTGGCCCAGAGAGTGTAGTTAAAGCATCGACCAGCAGAGGCTAATGGTGCCATAATAATATGCTACATTTTTGTACTAAACGAGCACAATAAAGCTACAGGCAAAAAAAAAAAAAATATCCTTACACAAGAGGTATTTAGCAGATGGAAAATGAGTCAGACATACTATATGTGACGCTCCATCAAAATGAGTCGGAAGTCACAGTGGGCCATTTGTGGAAAAAAAGTTTGAAAACTTTGAATTTTGATTCTTATGTTGTTTTTGATGAAACAAAGTCTCAGCTTTTAAAGTGTCAGTTTCATTATGAAATTCAAGAAATAAATTTACAAGAGCATATAGCTAAAACTGTAAATATAACTATGAATATATGCACTATAAATGCATTGATTATTTTTGTCATCATTTATTGATAAGATTTTTTATCACTATTTAAATTACTTACTTTCAGTCAATGCATAAAACAGCAAATTACTTCCTCAAGACAATTTCCAATTATGGAGGGGGTCACATATTAATCGTAATCTTGTTTGCAGTCAATCTAAATACGAATGAAATTTTAATGATATTTGTGTAGAATAAGGTTTATCAACTAATCATCACCAGATTGAACTGACAATTTAATAGATGCTAAATGAAACCTGGCACTGCTTTAAGACAGAAAGTAATAACATTCTAGCCTAGCTTTTGTGAGTTATTCTTCAGGACAACAGCCAGTTTATACTGGCAGTTGAGCTGAGCTTCATTATGTCCCACCGTTTAAAACTGTGACAGTCAAAACTCCAAAATGTTCATCGGGCTGATTGGATATATAACTTCATTTGAAGTGATTCCCTGTGTAAAAACACTTAATTCTGGGCCAGGCTTTGACGGATGAAACCAGCCCTTGACTGCACGGTTTGTGGACTCTATTGAGGGTGACAATTCTCCTTCAGTCGATTTCCTCCTCCTCAACGGCAAACCGAAGGGGCGTCGCAGGATTCACCCCCACCAATGTCAAATCATTCTCTGCAACACAGAGCCAGAATTACTGTTAAATAGCCCTCCTCAAAAGACAGGCGTCCCAGGTGTGTGTGGCACGTTTGCGAATCTCGTGGCCACTGAATTCGCTCTGCTGGCAGAAGAACGGGGTAGATGGCCTATTGCTGATTATTGCCCACCTCCCTCTTTGACAATCGTCACAGCTAGAGGAGGGGAGCAGCCTTTATTAACACCTCCATCTATCAGCCCTTCACTTCTAGGGACCCAACTGCTAATTCCCGAATAGATCGACAGTAATTTGTTAACGGTGACTTGATAGGAAGGCAGCAGGAAAAGCAATCCTCCCAGCGATAGATCTGGGTTTTTTCCCCACCCAGCCTCCCCTCAGACTGCATAGTTTGGCAATCTTTGGGAAAAGTGCTCCGCAGGGTTTGAAGGTCCCATTTTGTCGAACATAATGGCTCAACCACTGCAATCACACCCTCCCCCTCCTCTAAACCACCTTTTGCTCAGTTTGATTTCCGGTTGTCTGGTTCTCACTCGCGTACGCTCTGCCTGAAAGAAAACGCTGAGCTGGAGCTTGGCTTTTCACCTCCATAAGTCAACTTTGGCACACAGTTTATTACCAGCATGGCTGATGTTGTTGTTGATGATGATGTTGCTGCAATCAATAGCAAAGCATGTGCGACTAGGTTGAATGCTGGGAAATCATTGACATGAGTCGCATGCAACTTTCATCATACAATATGCGACTCTGCAACAGATTGGCCAATAGAAAACCAAGAATGCTTGTGAACGGCATTTTACATTCGGCCTTAAATTGCCAAGTAGCATATGCCACCACTAGATAGCCAATGTGTGCTCAAAGGCGCTATCAGAGTAAATACATCACGGCACGTCAGCGCAGCTAAACAAACGCCCCTCTCCGATGAAGCACTGCGAAACAAATTGGAAGCGCTTGACTGCAGATTTCATTATGAAGTCCGGTAATAAGTTCAGTACTCCCAGGACTGAATAACCCACAGACACTATGATTCACTTCCATCATGCAATTTCCCTGTGTAATTTTACTATAAAAACCATGTGCAATCTCAGCCGGCCCCTTCCAAGACAGCTTACAATGTACAAAAACACAATCCAACGGTCATTTATTGCTTTCCGTTACAAACAAAATCTCATCTTTTTTCTTGTAAAAGATTACCATTTCCGGCAAAATGACAGTGTGATATTACCAAGGCTCTGAGCATCTCTCTCTTGCCACAATGGGAGCCTGGAGATTCGGTGACAGTTGGAATGGGGGAGTCGGCCACTAATGTATCCACACAGCAGGATATTGGAACAACAAGGCAAATGGCTCTCCTGTGAGGAGCCGAGGTCCATTGCACACATTTTCTTGGTTTATTCCTAACAGGTGCGCACACACACGCATCAGTGCTGTGTGTTGTTCTCTCATTTTGTCTTAATGCTGAGGCGGTGATTGCTATGCCCCGGAGATCATAATATGAACAGGGCCCTCCCTGAAGCGGTTTGTACAGCCGAGAGCGCGGTCAGACATGCATCTCTGCGCTTCATACTGCCATAAATCCTGTTCCTGTTGAGGGGGGAAGCAATTTGGTAGGCAGAGCGATATGGGCCATGACAGGACTGGGTCTTGGGCCTCAGAGCCATGACAGGCCTCGTGGCCCCGAGCAATGCCGGTCAGCTTGTTTGCTGTCAGCACATGCAGTAATGTAGGAAGGCAGAGGCTCTGGACTGAGACTCCTCCCAATCCACAGACCCCAGAGGGTCAAAGCACCGTTTCACTGAAGCCATTTTCTACCCAGCAATCACTTCTGAATTATTCCACTTTCCCTTTTATACTGATGGACTGAGACTGCCGGTAAATGTTTGTTTTTATACTGCAATCATTTTAATGGGTCATAAATGGTAAAATGCTCCCGCAATATGGACGACCCTTGCTCCGAGGACCTTAATGTTTAATGCAGTCCTCAAACAAACACTCAATCATATCTCCATTCAAACGCAGCTTGTGATCGGTAACGGTGAAAATCAGCCACGCTTCCATTCGGAGGCCATTTTATGCTGACCTTGGTGATGGAAGACACAAAATGGACTCTGGATATTGAGGGGAAGTGTAGAGGAAAAGTCAACCATTAGCGTTTGGAACTTCAAATGGCATCCCTGGTGAGAGATTGAGCTGCCGACGTCCTCTCCATCACAGTACGCTTCCATTGCTTGGCGCGCGTTAATTGTTCCACGCCTCAGTTCGTTAAATGAGCATTCCGGCTAAATGACTCCTGAATAGTTTATCATGATGGAGGGTATGAATATTGCATGCCTGCTTTCTGCTTTTTTTTGGTCTTATTAGCATAATGATTCTTTGCGTTGAGCTGTGGCCCCATCTGACAATAGTATCCAGCTGCAGACCCGCAGCACCAGCAGTTTTAGAACCGCAGCCACAGAACCGGAAGTGAGGGGCGGAGCTTACGTTCTTAACACAGCAACGCCACCTTACAGTTTTTAAGGGTTAATTTGCTTTTATTAAACACGATACGTCATACTTTATGTATGTATGCATTTTATAATGATATATTAAGCATTTTAAAAATATTAATCTTGTGTAATTTAGTTTCGTTTAATTGAATTATGCGAGTTATTTCCTGTTTGTGATATTAAAAATAATGTTTGAAACTTCTGGGCATTTTATATGAAATATACTTTAATCACAAGATTCAAAATAAATGTTTACTCCAAAGTCAAGAACACATGCATCATACATTTTTCTATATGAAACTAAAACATTTCAATAACACACACACACACACACAAACAAACAGCAGCATAATTTTTAAAGTAACAATCAAAAGGTACACAATAATTAAATTGAAGTTTATAAAATGAACAATTCGCTATTAAGCCCATTTTGTCATGACAATCCTGCATTAAAATTTACAAAATGAACAATTCACTCTTGGGCCCATTTTGTTATGACAATCCTGCAAAAATAACTCCCCTGAACACAAGATGAAATATGAAGGGCACTCTGGAAGCTTCTGATTGTTCCAAATATAGACAGACAGACAGACACATAGACAGATTTGAGACATACCTCACAAGCGTAGCCTGTTATCCAATTGGAAGTGCCTCTGGTAGGGTTTCTGCACTGTAATATACATGTATCTTGGTTATTGGAATGTCACACTGGAAGACACAAACATAGAGAAATCTTTAAATATCAACTGCTACAACATCATAAAGGCCAATTACTTTAACTGATAACTACTTACAGATGTAAAATCAAAGGGTGCTCCCAAGACAAGCTGTACTGGAAAAAATGGCACAGAAAAACCTTCCTTGTTCCTTATTTAACAACTAAATAATCACACCAATAATTGCTTGCAAAAATGTATAGTATAGCCTAAAGGGTTCTGAAACTGCTGGTGCTGCGGGTCTGCAGCTGGATATATCTCCCTTCTGACAGAGGATCATAGCCATAGTTGCCAAGTCCGCGTATTATACGCGACTTTGGGTTTATTTTTTTGTAAAGTTGCGTGAAAAAAATCCCGGGTCGCGGGTTGCGGTTTTTTGGGCTTATTTTAATATGGTTGCTTGTTAGGGAAATCTGACAAGCAACTTCGTTTCTTTATTTATGTTCGCCATATTCTCCAATGCATTGGTTGACACTCTGTCTGCTCACAGTTAATAGCCAACCAGTGCAATAATATAAGTGCTGCAGCTTAATTTGCCAAATGTTCCGCCCCCTCCTCCCCCTCATTGGAGAAAGTCACGTTCAAAAAGAAGGCGCGTGCCGTGACCATAGACTGTATCAAAACACCGTGACGCTGTAATCCAAGCGATGCTAGAAGTAGACGTAGAGGAGTGGCATGACTTTCTTTTAGCCTAATTTTTAATTTTTACAATGTTTTTGTAATGTATTAATTATCATGGGCTGTAATAAAAAACAATTCCTATACTAATACTAAAACTATATAGCCTATACATTTGGTTCGAATAGCCTATATTTTAGTAGGCTATAAATATGTGGCTATGTTACAGTTCCCCTTTGAAGCTCTTGTGTTTTTCTCCTTTTCCATCTCTCCAATCCTATTCTGCTCACTGGTGATTGGAGATGAGTTTTTTGTTCTCACTTTGTTGCAGTTTGCTGATTTTTGTAAAATAACATATCTGTTTTTGCTTTTCAGATAAAAGAGTGGTTTCAGTTTAATATGTTGCAGGTTCATTTATTGGTAATGACTGTTGTCATTTTCACACACAGCGGGAGTCGCCGATTACTCATGGCACATTATTGAGCCGTAGCTGCCTTTGCCCCAGAGCTCCTGTATTTAAATGGAATTCCATGATAATTCTGAGGTGGTTACACCTTTGAATATTTTTTTAGTCACATGTGAATTCTGTCGTGCTGAAAGCACAAGCAGAAGAGTGTTGGGAGAGTCATTAGTCTGTAATTTCTCATACTTACTACACTGTTACACATCACAGGGTGCATGTGCTACTCTGATTGCGCCTTGTTGCAAGTTATCCGTGTGCTCAAAGAGAGACAGAGGTCTCTAAAAAAACTTTTTCTCATGCGACGTGCCTGCCTGCGTTCTGATGTGTTGACTTGTCATCAAAGCAGCAGGTTCAAACATATCTTTAGCTTGAATGGATCGCAGCACCTCAAACGCTGGTTGTGAATGCCTTTACACTGGAGATATGGAGGGATTTGTTTCTCCTTTGTCTTTATGAACGTGATCCATGAAAGGATCGTGAAACCCTGATGAAATACAGCGAACCCAAATGTTGGAGTTAAAGGGATAGTTCAGTGCAAAACAAAAATTCATCATTTACTCATTTTGCCTTTGCAAATCTGTATGACTTGTCATTTTTGTCTTATCTGTCCCTTTAAGAGTGAAATATTTCAGCTAAACCTACTTCACAGCCATTTGCTTTAATCATAAACAATCTTTTTGCTTATTTAGAACATTAAAAACGTATGAGAAATCATGATGCGTGCCTCTATATGCAAGACGCATTTTGTCAGTGATAAAATTTAAGGCGCACTTCTGTTAGATTGCATTATGCTCATTTTATGCCACTACAAGCAAAATCAAAGACATGCATTTTCAAATATCATCTGCAGTGCTAATGGAAATTGAGAAGTTGTGCTTTTGATGGAGAAAAAAGAAGCCAAAGGCTTTAAATTCAACATGATTTGCGACAGCACAAAGCAAGCATTCTTTCCGATTTGCACGTAATTTGCACTCTTCCTTATTTAGACTACTGGAAGAGTGAATGGTTTGAAACAGTGAGGTCACAGTCATGCCAGCCCACTAATACTCGGAGTTTCCTCCAAAGAGAGCACTTTAGTTCCATTTCACCATGGTAGACTAGAGATCAGCGAATACGCAAACATGTTTTGTCATTTTGGCAGGGAGGTGGCTCATTTCCACTTGAAGAAATAATTTATGAATGGTCAACACCGCAAACATGACTCCCTTGGTAACATTAATTGCTCAGGAAACTATCCCCCCCCTCAAAGCAAGCTTCGTTCTGTTGAATTCACTAAAGACGTTGCACTAGCATTAGCAAAATGAGCTCAGCTTCAGTTCAACAGCTGCTATAAATTGTAAATTGTTCCAGGAAGCTCTAAAATGGCATCCTGATGGATGTGATTGCTCACAAGGGAGACCCAGAAACCACCTCTTGCCTAACAAAACACCCTGGTGACCTTTTGAATCTATTGCACCACTGTGAACGGTGTGCGATGAATCATCATGCATGCTGAAAAACATTCTTTCAGAAATGGGATTTTTAAAGGGGGGACGACGACATTCCATTGGTTAAATGGCTCAAGGACTACCATAACACAAATAACACTCATTCAATAGAGCACCACAATATTTTCACAGA